TGCACAAAACTTTGAACCAAATTTGAAAGTTCCTATAGTTCTTTAAACCATACGTTCAGAAAACATTCTGCTAAACTAAAATCGTTAGATGGGTATGCATCCTTAGATTTTCCTTTAGACATCATGCAGCAGTACTGGGAGATTATAAAATAGGTTTACCAAGGTCAAGTCTGTTCCAAAATATTCTGGTGTGTCACAGTTTGAAAATGTTAAGTTACTTTTTGCTGAGTGTAGCCTGCATTATTATGGAGAAGATTCTGTGCCAGAGCAAAAAAGCAAACTCATCGGTGAAAAAACATGAAATACAATACACAGATGGTGTTGCTTTTCCTTCATTTCATTGCTCTTATGTTGCCTGACCTCTTTATTGAAGAACAATCAGCACGGGATTGCTTTTCAAGAATTAAATGCTGAATTTGTCAGAGGTGAATGTGATCCACCTTTAATGACCAAGGGGATAAATTTCAAAGAGATCAAGTGATGTAAGAGCAATGCAATGAAGGAAAAGCTATGGTTATGGCTGGAAAAGAGTGCCATGCTCAATTAAGTTGTGGGGAAGGACCTTACCCATGGTGGAGGAGTTTAAACTTTGGGTTCTTTTTCATAAGTAATGGAAACTAAGAGCATGGATCGGGTCAACCACAACAGCAGTCTGATCGGTGTGGTGTTATACATTATACCTGACCATAGGGGAGGATAGGGATGTAGATTTATCTGTTTACTGATAAATCTGCATCCCTATCCTCACCTATGGTCATGAGCTGTGTGCAGTGACAGAAAGAATAAGGTTGTGAGTACAGGTGGTGGAAATGAGGTTTCTCTGCAAGGATACTGGACTTACTCTCTGTGATATGGTGAGGAGCTGGCAATCCCAGAGAGCATCTGAGTAGAGCTGCTGCTCCTCTGAATTGAGCCAGATGAGGAGGTTTGGGCACCTTACACAGATGCCCCCCAGTCAGCTCCTAGTAGAGCTGTCTATATTCTGTCATCAGTCATGTCCCACTGCATGGAGACCCCAGGGCAGACTGAGGACCAGCTACAGAGATTACATCTCCCAGTTGGCTTGGGGACATCTGGGTATCTCTCAAGAGAAGCTGTGGCTAGGGATAGACCAGTCTGGGCTGACCTTCTCAACCTGTTGCCACTGTGAATCACATGCTGATTGGAAGGAAAATTAATTAATTATAAAACAAAATAAAATTAGGCCTCAGGATATAGCTCTAAATTCTCTAGAGGAGTATGCTTAATAAAAATTCTCTAGAGGAGTATGCTTAATATACTCAATAATGTATATATTAAGAAATAAAAAGGTTTAAAGTGCACAACTGTTAGGATTACATTCATCTATTCACATTCAGAAAACACTTTTTCCTGGTCAGAATCGTGTTGGATCCACAGCCTATCTTGGGAACACTGGCCGCAAGGCAGGAATACACTTCGGATGGGACGCCAGCCCATCGCATTGCTCAGTATTACATTATCCATCTATACAGTATTGTGTAAAAGTCTTGGGCACATTTATAGAAATGCTACAAAGCAAATATTATTTAAAAAAATATATAATTTAAAAAAAATAAAAAAGGAAACACTTCTACATGCAAAAATCTGTATAAAGTACAGAAAACAGCAATAAACTTAACAAAGTCAGTATTTGGCATGGCAGCCATTAAAAAGGCAGTAAAATCAGGTACACTTTGTGCAGTTTTATAAGGAAATTGGCTGGTAAGTTTTTCTAAACAGCTTGGAGAATCTGCCACTGTTCTTCTGGAGACTGACTGTTCTACTTGCTTCTGTTTTTACAGGTAAAACCTGACAGCCTTCATTATGGGTCCCCCCCCCCCCCCCCAGAAAAAAGTGGTCTCTTATGTAATACATTACTTTCTTTACTGACATAGAAACATTTTACTGTAAGATTTATTCTGTATTAGAAAAGTAATGGTAGGAAATCTTTTTTTCCTTAAACTTAATAATGACCCAATAATACAGAAATCAGAAAAAAAAACATATAAGGCAAAATTTGTATTAAAACATTTAGGCACAGTACTGTACATTGGTACATATTCCTGTACACGTGCTTGCTTTTAGGGGGTTGCACAATGTGATTCTTCAAAAGCAATCTCCTGCTGATATTTCACTAAAGATAACAAGCAACATAACTGCAATGCAATGAAGGTTTAGCTATTCAGTGTGGCACAAATAAAAAGCAATTCCATCTGTGTATTGTATTTGATGTTTCTTCACCAGTATGATTGTTTTTTGCCCTGACACGGAATCTTCTGCATGCATTTATTTGCCCAATAACAATATATTTTGATTGTGTAAACCTGTCTTTGGCCAGAAAATGCTGTGACTGTGTAAACCTGTCTTTAGCCAGTAGAGAGCACTGTCTGATCAGTGACTGCAGGGCATAACCAAATACTCTGTGGGGCATTACTGGCAAATACACAGATTAGTGCAAAAGTATCTAATATACTGTCTGTAGATGAAAAAGGAAAAGATATTTCTATTTCACAATTTACCTAAAAAATATATATTTTGCAACAATCCAAAATGGACAGCAACATTGTTTGAAAAGAACCAAAGTATAAAGCCTCCAGACCTGATTTTACAGGCAATGTATGACTTTGTATGACCCTTCCAACCACCCACATAGTCAACATTTAACATGTGGTACACATAACATACAATAAAAAAGTATTTTCATTTTGCCCTCCCCACGTACCCATCAGCCCCTATTGCACGTGCACTACTGTATAACTACTGTTTAATGTATACACTACTTTATTCCCCAAACTGTAGCCACAAAATTCAATTCTATTTTGTTTGTATAGTGCTTTTAACAATGGACATTGTCACAAAGCAGCTTTACAGAAAAATATAAATTCAGGATATACCTTTTAAATTTATGAATTTATCCCTAATGAGCAAGCCAGAGGCAACTCCCTGAGGCGATATGAGGAAGAAACCTTGAGAGGAACCAGACTCAACAGGGACCCCATCCTCATCTGGGTGACAATGGATAGTGCAATTATATATAATTCCCTTCTATTAAGATTCATTCGTTAAGATTAAGATTCATATTCATTAAGATTTCCCTTCACTAGAACTAAGGGGCCCAAACCTGTTCCAGCATGACAATGCCCCTGTGCACAATGAAGACATTATTTGCCAAAGTTGGAGTGGAAGAACTTGAGCGCCCCGGGCCTCCTCGCCCCACAAAAATTGTTGTACACACAAGATTTTAGTTATTGCACATACTGTATTGCACAATGCTGTTTATTACACATACAGTAGTTATTGCACATATTGCACATACTGTAGTTAAAAATGTTTGAAGGCAGTTATAAGGGTAAAGGTTATATTTATACCACATTAAGTTTCAAACTTTAACTGTGTCTAAATTGGTATGACATCTGAAGAGAATCAGCATAAATGAATTTTTCTATCTTGCTTATAGGACAATACCAATAAAGCACATGCCTGTAAACCTTATTGTGATGATCTGGGGGAAATCGGTGGAGAATTAATCCGGTATTATGTAGGCTATTCACTCCTGCGTGTGTGTTTTTATGACACTGTTTACAAACCACTTCTCTGGATGTTTGCGTTATAACTCGGGTTTAATTGGCACTGTTCTGTTCATTGCAGGTCACATTGGGTGATTAATCAGCACAGATCTCTCTGTAGAGACGCTTATTGAGAAGCAGTGGTGGCGCTCCGGATCTCTCCTGATGGATTTATGCTCTGTGTGCTGCACTCTTCTTCTGCTGTCATGTACAGGTGAACACATTCATTATATCTCAACAACAACAACAACAACAATAATAATAATAATAATAATAATCCAAATGATTTTTTTTGCTTTCTTGGTTTCTATACTGGAACAATGCTGTTTTTATACAACAAACTCTAGTGTCTTAAAAAATATTTCTTCATACAGGAGTATGTTTAGGCCAAGAGGTGTTATTACCTGAGAGAATAAATAAAGCAGTTGGGGAGAATGTGGTGATTACCCCAATCCGTATTCCTGATCCTCCACACTTTATCATCAGATGGATGTTTAATACAAGCACCATTCTTTCTGGAACTCTTAGTGGAATTATAATAAACCCACTGTACACTGATAGAGTCAGTCTGGACACCACCACTTTAGCTCTGGAGCTCAGGAGCCTGACTGAGAGTGATACTGGACCATATTCTCTGACTGTAGAGACTGCTACAGGTTCTTTCACTGGTGTAACCCCACTGCAGGTGTTTGGTGAGTAAACAAAACTTTTTAACACAGCTGCAGTAAGAGTTTATTCTTTAATCTATTAGAGTCCTTATTTTGTGAATACAATGGAATGTCTTTTCTGCGTTTAGTTTCCTATCTTTGTTTTTTTTTTCTCTACAGCAGAATCCATATAGACAGCTCTAAAATATACAAAACCATATTTATATTCATCTCAATAAACTATTAACATTGTCAAGTATGGACTTGAAAAAAAAAAACTACTGGGTCAAATTCAGAATATTATTTTTATATTAAATTCCCATATAAATTATAAAAAATATAGAATATGTAGTGTTTAGAGTAATTTTATTCCTCCATTTTATTCCTTTAAGTCCTTGATTGTGAAGGTGATATTGTGGACTGACTTTTCATGACAATTTTTACTCGGCAGTTTTTCCTGTGGCAGTATGACTGAAACCACAGGCGATTGCTGTAAGACTACATGTGAAGTCTGGCCTCCCCTGGCCTTTTCATAAAATGTGGCAGTGAAATGTTTCTACATTAAATGTAGAAATATATCTAGACCTATATTATTAATCACTCTCGGTGAAATTAATTTTTTTTTGGCGACTCCCATTAGGGGTCGCCATGGCGGATCTGCATATTTGATTTGGCACAGTTTTTATGCCGGATGCCCTTCCTGACACAACTCTCCCCAATTTTTTATCCGGACTTGGGACCGGCACTGGAGTGCACTGGCTTGTGCTACCCCAGTGGCTGGGGTCGGTTCCCTGGTTAGGAATTGAACCCCGGCCACAGAGGTGAGCATGCTGAGGCCTAACCACTAGTCCTCCAGGGACCCCTCTTGGTGAAATTCAATATTTTAGCAAATTCAGTAATCAAATATCTCACTGCAGTATCATACTGAATATTGATTTAATGCAAACTGAAGCCCTTAGATGCCATGCTGTGAACTATTGATGCACAGCTTCAATGGGATCCAAAGGATTAATCTTTATATTTGCTAAATGTTGTAAATAAGTTGTATGTACAATGTTATGTTTGATTATTTGGGTTTATTTCAGGATTTTCTTTTGTTTGTTTATGGGTCTAGCTGTCATTACCTTCTTCAGTGAAATTTAGCTAGCTAGTTAGCAGCTTATCTGCTTTTTACCACAACATGTCAGACACTGCTACTGCTGGTGACTTGGTTTTGACCCTATTTTAAAACTCACCAGCTGCCACTGGCTGAAACAGATCTGACTGATTATTATATAAAAAAAGGAGAGCTAATCATGTTGGTACAGTGATTACACTTGTGTCTTGTTTATAGATCATTAGTGTTGAGGCCTTATGTGTACTGGTGTGTATCTGAGCCCTGTATTACTTTTTAATCTCCATGAATTCAACCAGCTCTGTTTTACTTGAATTCAACAGCACTGTGAGTCTCGTCTGCTCTGCGTCTGGCTCCACACTTTCATTTATTTGGCTGAATGGCAGCTCTGAGGTAACAGCAGGGGAGCGAGTTCAGTTAACAGACAGCAACAGCAATCTGACCATCACCAATGTGATCAGAGGTGACACAGGCCCATACCAATGTGAAGCATCTAACATCATCAGCAAAGCAATGAGTCCTCCATTGAGCCTCACCATTTACTGTGAGTTATTTCATATCATGCATCTTGTTGACAGTCATGAGGTTTATCCAAGAAACATGCATGATATACCTGGTCTCTACAAGACCATGATGGCTCTAAAGATGACTAAATATGGACTGTTCCATTGCAGATGGTCCAGAAAATGTTGCTGTTGAAGCAGCTCCAGTGGGTCCTTTCTACAGCTCTGGGTCTAACCTCACACTGACCTGCTCAGCTGAGTCCAGCCCTGCTGCTGAGTTTCAGTGGGCTGTGAATGGAGCAGAGCTTGGTGAAATGGGCCAAGAGCTCAGACTGAGCAACATTCAGAGCAGTCAGAGTGGCAATTACACCTGCATCGCCCATAACAAACAGAGCCTGAGATACTCCACGTCTGAACCCATCAACATTACTGTACTAGGTGGGTTATAATTTAGTTATTGAATTCAAGTGCAACAAAAAATAACTAGGCATTCATTCAAGCCAAGGCAACTCTTTGGCCACAGAAAAGTGGACAAAACACACTGATAAATTAGCATTCAAGTAAAATTAAGTTGTTCTTTCGGCTGCTCCCATTAGGGGTCACCACAGCGGATCATTGGGCTGCATGTTTGATTTGGCACAGGTTTTACGCCGGTTGCCCTTCCTGACACAACCCTCCCATTTTATCCGGGCTTGGGACCGGCACTGAGTGTACACTCCCAGTGGCTGGGTTGGTTCCTTGCACGGGAAACTAACCTGTGCCGTGGCAGTCAGAGCGCAGGATCCTTAGCCACTAGACCACCAGGGACATTCAAGTAAAATTAAATAACATTGAAAAATTAGTTTCTTTGCAGAGAAATTTAAAATGAATTTTTGTTTGTATTTGAAATGCAGTTTTTTTAAAATTTAGAAATGAGTAGAACTGTATTTAACTAGCATTTGAATAACTTCTGTATATATTATGTAAGCAATGAAAAACAGACGTGCTGTTATAGGAAAATACTCAGTGATGGGGTGGTGTGATCTGGTCTGACGCAAAGCAGATCTCCCATGAATGAATGTTACTAAGCACTGACACAGGAGACTCCTTCCATCAGTGTTAAATAAACATCCCCTTAATGAAATTTAATACAGTGACAATTTCAAAATAAAGTTTTTTTAATATTTGTTTATTATTAGGACTAGATCATATGTGGGGTGTCTGCCATACACGTTCCTGTACAAACACCCTTAGATTTAGAAAGAGTGCATTCATATAAACATGTGTGATATGTCTTACAGCCAGCAGTACTGTCAGAACTGCTACTACAGAATATGAATCAACATCCTCTGACCAGTCAGATTCAAGAATGCAACAGTGTTGTGGTATAAATATAATATATATACAGTGGAGGTGTGGAAATAAGTCAGTTATTGGAAAAGCAGACTATATCTGGGAGCTTCCAGAACAGAAAAAAGGTATTGAGATTTCTAAAACTTAAAGATTATTGCGTTCTTTCAGCACAAAAGCTGACCTGACAGACTAAATAACGCAGTTGGGGACAACATAGTGATTATCCCAATATGTATTCCTATTCCCCCACACTTTAGCTCTGGGGGTCTGGGACCTGACTGAGAGTGGTACTGGATACTATTCTCTGTCTGTAGACTCTGTTATAGATCATTTCACAAATGTAACCTCAACAAATGTAACGGCAAGGGCAGCAAGGGTTTGTTCCATGATCTCTTACTGTCCTTATTTTGCAAATACAATGATTTATTTTACTGCATATTTACTGTTTACTATAATATTTTTCCCTCTACAACAGAATCTGAATATGCATCTCTAAAATGTATAAAATCACATTCATCCATCCATCTTCCATGCTGCTTATCTGACACAGGGTCGCGGGTGAGCCTGGAGCTTATCCCTGGGGATTCAGGGCACAAGGCAGGGGGACACCCTGGATGGGGTGCCAACCCATCACAGGGCACAATCTCACATACTTTCACACACAAGGAACAATTTGGAAATGCCAAAAAGACAGCCTACAAAGCATGTCTTTGGAATGGATGGATGGAACGGGGGAGAACATGCAAACTATGCGGACACGGAGCGGGGGTGGGAATCAAACCCTCAACACCGGAGGTGTGAGGCAAACATGCAAGCCACCAAGCCACCATGCCCCCAAAGTCATAATCATATTAATCTTCATACCATATTAATATTGTCAAGCTTCCCTCTAAAAACTAGAGTGTCAAATTCAGAATAGCAAATTATGATACAAAATACAGAAACTGTAGACTTTAGAACCATTTTTGGTAACAGATTTCTGTGATGATCATCTTATAAAAAATAAAGATGACATTACCATTTGGTCAAAACAGCTGTGTCATTGTCCTCTTCACCTGTGCCAATATTTCTTCTGCTGCCATATTGCAGTAAAGCTCCTCTTTTTAAAGAATGCATGGCTGGTGGCTGAAGATTGGTGATTGATGCTCATAGCAAAAGTTTATAGTGCTATAATGTGAGATGTTTATTACTGAGGTTTATTGCCATAAAAAATCTGTAAAGAGTACTTTCTTTTCTGGTCTTCTTGTTTTCGAGTGTACTTCGTAATTGTTAAGGTGACAGTGGACTAGTACTTTAAAACTAATACAGTTTTATTAGCCAATTTTTAATCTGCATTTTTTTGCAGTGTGACAGAAACAGATATGATTATTGTCCAAATTCAGGAGAGCTAATAGTGTTGGTACAATGATTACAGTTATGTTTTGATTATAGATCGTTCATGTTCACGTCTGATGTGTATGTGTACCTGAGCCCTGTATTACTTTTTAACCCCCAGTGCCAGCCTCCAATGTTACCATAGTAACAAATCAAACATGGCTGCTTGAATACAGCAGCTCTGTGAGTCTCGTCTGCTCTGCGTCTGGCTCCTCTCTTTCATTTATTTGGCTGCATGGCAGATCTGAGGTTACAGCAGCTAACTGACAAGAACAAAAATCTGACCATTACCAGTGTGGTCAGAGGTGACACAGGCTCATACCGATGTGAAGCATCCAACATCATCAGCAAAGCAACGAGTCCTCCTTTGAACATCTTCATTTACTGTGAGTTATTTCATATCATGTGACTTGTCGACATCTCAGTGTGCTTTACAGTGTACAGTAAAAAACAGCAGAGAAAAAAAATAGTAAATAAAATAGGCTGATACTACTACTATGACTACAACTACTAATAGAATAACAGTACAACAGTTAAAATAATATAAAAAGTAAAATAAAACTAATGTACCTGTAAAAGTAAGGATGAATGTTAGTTAAATCCTAAATTGAAAAAAAAGTTTTTAGCTGTTTTTTTTTTTTTTACATCAGTGGTAGAAGGTAGATGGTAGCCTGATGAATGTTGTCTTTCCTGTAAATAACAATGAAAACTGACTCTATGCTTCATAATAATCTGCTCAAATGTTCTATCTCTTTAAAGTTTTTAAATCTATCCATTACTCTGACTGAATATTAGTGTGACTTTGTGAATATTAATGTGACAGAATAATAATACATTTTGAATTAAATGTTTTTTTTTTTTTGGTAAAACACTATCTAAAACAAATCTTAATCCAAAGCTAAAATTACCGACTATATCATGCACTGTTGAGTTTACATGCAGAAGAGGTTTATAATATAGAGCGTTACTGAAAAGAGCAGCTCTTGATATGTTAAAATATTTTTTTTCCTTTCATGTCATCACAGTGGACATACTGAAAACAAGCAATAGTGAGATGGCAACAGCCACAATTTCCATTTATATTGATAAATAAACCTTGTGACGTGACTAAACCCACTGTATGACCATGATTAAGCCGCAATACAGTAGTTTGTAATGGCCTTCAAACATGTCTTGTAAAAAAGGTTATTTTATAAAATCTCGAGATGTTCTTTAATACAGTGTGATTATTTTTTTATGAAATGATTATTATTATATTAAATGAAGATTTGCTGGTTTCTCTCTATGTAAAAAAAAGGGCGTGCAGATGAAGAGCTGCTGTCTGCAGAATCTATGCTTGATATTGCTATTGGGGTTTCATTCGGTGTCATTGGAGCTGCTGGTTTGATTTACTACATTATGAAAGTAAAAGAACTGTAAGTAAATTAGACTTTAAGTAAATTAGATGTTTGTAATGTACTTTGTGATGTATTTCAGGTAAGTAGTATTTAATAGCAGCATTTTTTCTTAACAGGAATTATAAAAATATGAACATGT